ACTTTGTGTCGGGCGACCACTTGCGTCACATAACACACGCATGCTCAATTTCGATACTCAGTTTAGTTCCGTATTTGAAAGGCGACCGAAATTGTTTTTTGACACAGGCTTGGTGCAGATTAGCGCAGCAATCACCTCACTGCAATACCAATCTTGGATGTTTGCGTAAAAGCCTCAGGATTTGGTACGGTTACGTGGCTTGTGGTCTAACTTGTACAGCATGGCGGCAGCCAGGGAAGAGGTTGCTTTTGCCTGGTGAACAGAGCGTGTATATCTGTTTCAGTATTACACTGGAAATGTAGAACGTGTTAAGACGTGGCAGCGCGGGCCTCCACGGTATGGGCTGTTGACCTTTCCCCGGTGCCACGGCACTCCTGAGTCAATAAGATTATCATTATTATTATTAGAACTGACAAGAACAGAAACTTTCAAGTACCTAGGGATAACAATGAGTCAAAACATAAAATGGCAGTCAGATATTGTAAATATCTGTGCAGCTGCATATAGGAAGTTGTGCATGCTTAGACATAAGCTTGGAAGTAGCAAAAAAGAAATAAGACTTACAGCACGCAAAACTCTAATACGACCTACTCTAGAATATGCTTTGGTCATTTGGGACTACGTAACCAAGACCGACATAAATAGGCTCAAGAGAATACAGAAGAAAGCAGCACATTGTATAACTTCAAATTACAGATCAACGTCCTCTGAGACATCTGACGGACAGGCGGGTGAGGTCGCTGGCCAGGACATGGAAACTACAGCGGTGCCTGACAGCACCGGCCTGATCACCCAGAGCACTAGACCCGAGTACCTCCATGGGACAACCCTGGGGACGAAAAACTACTGCACAGAAGCTGGCCCAGATGGCACAACACCTGACGAGAGCACCGCTAGCAGCACGGAACTGGTGGAGGTCCCGAACACTTCAGTCCAAGTGCTGCTGCAGTCACAAGACCTTCACCTGCGGATGCACTCAACACCATCCGAGCCCATCGGCACGTCTGACGGACAGACCACCGCACTTGGTCACGCCCATGGAGCCACCCTGGAGACGGTACTTGACTGCACGGGAGCTGGCCCAGCTGTCGCAGATAACACGAAACCTGATGAGAGCGCTGACAGCACTGAACTTGTGGAGCTCCTGGACACAAGATCCGTCCTCTCCGAGCACACAAGGAATCTGCGACGGCTACTAGGCGAGACGACCTCTGATGCGGCATGGGCCACTTTCACTGCCATCCTTGGAGAGGCTCTGGAGGTGGTGACCAGGGCGGTGAAGCTCCCAGCTGCATCATCGGGCAGGAGACCACGGCGTGAGGTGAACCCCAACTGCCCTCAACAAATCCAGGCACTGTACCGTCGCAATCGGCGTCGAGCGGTGCGCCTGATTGTGGAGGGGTTGTCCTCACAATGCCCAATCCCGCTGGAAAAGATAGAGGCACATTTCATGGACACCTGGGCCCCGAAAGAAGCAGATTCCAGCCTGCTCACGTCCCGCGTGCCGGTGACTGCGGAGATGCCCATGGCCAGCTTCACCGAGGAAGAGGTTGCAGCCCGCCTGCGGCGCTGTGAAAGCACTGCCCCTGGAGGAGATCGTCTGACCTACCACCATTGGAAGACTGTCGACCCGGATGCCTGCTTCCTCACGGCGGTATACAACATCTGCCTTCGCCACCGCCGTGTGCCAGCTATATGGAAGGAGACAGAACAATCCTGATATACAAGGGAGATCGCCAAGACCCCACGAACTGGCGCCCGATATTCCTCGGCTGCACTATTGCGAAGCTGTATGCTGGCTGCCTCGCTTCCCGGCTGCAGGACTGGATGAGCAAGCACAGCGTCCTGTCAAGGTGCCAGAAGGGCTTCCTCTTACACGACGGGGTCTTTGAGCACAATTTCGTGCTACAGGAGCGCCTTGACAGGGCCCGAACAAGTGGTGGGCAGCTATGCGTGGCTTTCCTAGACTTTGCCAATGCCTTTGGCTCCGTCGCACATAATGCCCTGATCGAGGCGGTGCGGGGTGCTGGTGCTGGGGAGGCATTTGCCTCCATAGTGCAAGACCTTTACCAAGACAACATCACCACCGTCGCCGCTGAGGAAGGGACCACCGAGCCCATCTCCATCGCTGCGGGAACCAGGCAGGGCTGCCCGCTGAGTGGGCTCCTCTTCAATCTGGTCCTCGACCCAGTAATTCGGGCGGTGCAGGGAGGCGAGCGACGTCACAACATCCTCGCATATGCCGACGACCTCACCCCACTGGCTGATGACCCAGACATGCTCCAGCAGCGCATAAACACCGCGGCAGCCTTGTCCGGTCAGCTGGGGCTCAAGCTGAACCCTGCAAAGTGCCGCACCATCCACCTCACCGGCGAGCACCCCGTGGGCACGAGGCCGACCACGTTCACCATTGATGAGTCACCTATCCCAACCATCGGGGACTTCGCAGGGCACAGCTTCCTGGGGCGGCCAGTAGGCTACCGAGTACTGGCCGACAATGCCACCATCCAAGACGCCATCAACCTCGGCAAGCGCCTTCTGACCTCGGTGCTTGCCCCGTGGCAAAGGCTGGATGCGGTGAAGACTTTCCTCTTCCCTGCACTCAACTTTGCCATGCGGGCGGGCACGCTGGGGAAGGAAGACTGGCGACGCCTGGACGAGACTCTACGGCCACTTCTCAAGCGAACGCTGTACCTCCCGAGCAACTCATCAAACGAGTACCTGTACGGAGGTGCAGCCGCCGGGGCAGTAGGCATACCTGTTGCGGCCGACATCAGTGATGCCTGCCGCATCGATGGGGCCTTCAAGCTGCTGTCTTCTCCAGACCCCGAAATACGCAGCATGGCATTGCTGGCGGTGACAGACATCACCGCAAAGCGACTTCGAAGACCAGCTGCCGAAGGAGACATCGAGGCCTACCTGACGGGCAAGACAGAAGGCGACTTCCGCTCCACCGCCACCCAGCTCAAGCCGGTGTGGACGGAGGCTCGCAAGGCGTCTCGCCGGCTTGGGGTAAGCTGGGAGCTCCGACCAGATGGAGCCCGGATCGCCTTCGGGGAGACCTCGCTGTCTCCAAAGCACCGCCACAAGGTAATTCGCACACTGCGGGAGGTCTTGATGGCGGAGAAGAACGCAGCCCTCCAACAGAAGCCAAGCCAGGGCAAGGCAATGGAATGCGTAGCAGCTGACCAGACCAGCTCACACTTCATCCGATCCGGTCAGTTCACATGATCTGCAGACTGGCGATTCATCCATCGGGCGCGACTGAACCTCCTACCCCTCAACGGTGCTCGACCCTGGGCTGCAGCAGTGGACCAACGGTGCAGGACATGCGGCTACCAGCAGGAAACACTGCCGCATGTCCTCTGCCATTGCATGCCCCGAAGCCGTGACATCACCGAGCGCCATAACAAGATTGTGCGACAAATCAAGGCCGCAGCTACGAGCCGCTTCACAGCCACCCACGAAGACCAGTCGGTGGGAGACACAGGCTTGCGACCCGACCTCGTGTTGGTAAGAGGGGAGGAGGCCATAGTCCTTGATGTCTGCTGCCCATTCGAAAACAGACGGGTGGCCATGCAAGAGGCGAGGGCGAAGAAAATTGAGAAATATGCGCCTGTCCGGGAGCTCCTTCGGCGACGCTTCCAACGAGTCACGGTCGGTTGACTGAAATGTTCAAAGGCTGGAGATGTTTTGTCATGCCACCTGGAATTATGGCAAGGGAGATGGCCAGCTTTTCCAATCTTTCTTTTACGCTGTCCATGAGGTGTGCCCGCATTGAATCCATTATCAGAAGACATTTTGGATTGAAGAATGATCCCTTGCGCTTTCTCAGTACGTCGTACGGCGTGACAAAACATCTCCAGCCTTTGAACATTTCAGTCAACCGAGCATTTAAGAGCAATATCGGGAAGCACGGATGCAAGATGGATCTCACACGTACACAAAAACTGGACGGATGCGCAGAGCGACTTATGCAGACGTGTGCAAGTAGGCGATAGAGTCTTGGAACGCTATTCCATGTCGAGTTGTTGTCAACAGCTTCGCCAAAGCGGACCTAAAATCTTCTGGACAAGAAATGTCTGATGCTGAATGCGACAGCACGGAAGACACTGATGACACAATCATCGATTCGCAAATGATTGACCTTTTTTGCTCAGACAGCCCCGACAGTGATTATGACAGATTTGTTGACTGAACATGTATAAGTGGCGAATTTTGTATGATGCGAGCTTTACTGTGTTCTAATAGAGTACCTACTACATATGAGGATTGCAACCTGGACGGTTTTTGACAGGCAGTACAGGTTGTTTCCACACGTGGCCCAGCCATTATGAGCTTGTCTGGGCGTCTGAAGCACCGACGCGCATCTTTTATTAATTACTTTTTTTTAATTTCATTTAGCCTCTCGATTTAGAGTTGTTCGGTAAATACCCCCGCAGGGAACAGTTTTTTTTTTTTCTTCGGGGGATAGGTATTTTTAAAATGTGTTCTGTGTAACGATATAACTGCGGACTATGTGCTAGGTGCAGACTATCTAAAGGAAAAGTTTTTTTTACCGAAATGAGCTCCTGCGGACTATACACCGGGTGCGGACTATCTAAGCAAAAACTTTTCTTTCTGAGCTCAAATTGGCCCCTGCGGACTTATAGTCCGGAAAATATGGTACTTGTATATCGCTCTAGCCCCTCTACATCATTGAATTTTCTGAAAATTTCACTGGGAATATATGGGGCCAATTTTTGCCCACTTCTGGCTTCTGAAGCCATAGAGCTCCATGTATTAGAGAGCTCCGTCAGCCGCCCTTCCCCCACTGAAAATTGCAGCTAGCATGATAACATAAGTTTGATATATATTGACACCCACCTCTAGTCCTACGTTTAGGAGGAGATCGAGCGTGGAGAAGGAATTCTCCAGAGGACACTCTGCAAGCGATAGCAGTTCGGTCCCAGGTGTCCGTGTAGGGCACGATAGGCTGATTCTTTCTTTGAATTTATACATTTCCCCCCGTGAGGGGGGTGGGCCGATCCTGGAGGCAGTGCAATACCAGGCCAACCCGTGGCATAGGTGAGGTAAACCTCAAGCACTACGCCGCATTCCAAAAATAAGATTAATATCTTGGGTCCAAATAGGACCCGTATCAGATATTAAGCTGATAAGAACAGAGATTTTATTGCATGTTATTTACATATACAGGGAGTATGGGAAGCTGTACAAGTCGTAATGTTAGTGGGAATTTTATACATTGGCTAGCTAGGGAAATTATACACTGGTTATAAGAGAAAAAAAAAATGCTAATACAATGCTAAAAAGACGAAAATATACATATTCTAAAGGCGCTTCCCAGCAATGTGACTAGCATATATGTCCCTGGAGCTTGCTATCGTCTCACTCACAATGAGTTTCTTCATTAGTCGTAAATATGACCTGCTGCATAGTCTCCTGAGGGTGGCATCATTGTCTGGGTCCCAGGACCCTAACGCACCCACGATCACGGCAGCAACAGTCACGCGCTGGTAGCGGCGGCACAGGTACTGCTTGATGGCCTCATACTTCTCAATTTTCTGTTGCCGCGCCTCCAGCAGCGCTGCACGTCTGTTGTCAAAGGGGCAGGTGACGTCAATGATGATGGCCTCCTCACCCCTCGCCAGCACCAGGTCTGGACGCAGGCTTGACTCCCCGACCGGCTGGTTTTCGTGCGTCACCGTGAACTTGGGCGTTGCTGCTGCCTTGATGCGGTTCACGATGTTGTTGTGACGCCGCGTCAGGGCCTGGCTCTGGACCATGCAGTGGCAGACGACGTGTGGCAAGGTTTCTTGCTGGTAGCCACACGCCCTGCAACGTTGGTCGACGGCCGAGGCCCATGGACGCGCTCCGTTGAGTGGCAGCAGGTTGAGACGTGCCCGGTGGATGAACCGCCAGTCGGTGAAACGGGTGTATCGCCCTGACCGCATGAAGTGAGAGCTGGCGCGATCAGCGGCGACACACTCCATCGCCTTTCCCTGGCTGGGTTGTTGGTGCAGCGCTCTGTCGTTTGCTGCTGTCGAGATGCCTCGGAGTGTCCGGATCACCTTGTGGCGATGCTTGGGGGAGATGGTAGTTCCCCCACAGGCGATCCTGGCTCCTTCAGGCACCAGCTCCCAGGTCACGCCGGCGCGTCGGGAGGCTTTGCGGGCCTCTGTCCACACCGACTGGAGCTGCGTTGACGTTGCTCTGAAGTCGCCTTCGGTGTCTCCGGATAGGTAGGCCGCCACGTCTTCTGCTGCAACTGGTCTCCTGAGCCGCTTCTCAGTCACCCTGGTCACCGCCTGCAGTGCCAGGTCACGTACCTCGCTGTCTGGCGACGAGAGCAGCTTGAACGCACCATCAATGCGGCACGCGTCGCTTATGTCGGCTGCTTCCGGGATCCCTGCGACTCCTGCACCTGCACTCCCGTAGAGGTACTTGTTTGAGGAGTTTGCTGGCAGGTACAGCGTTCGTTTGATGAGGGGTCGCAGGGTGTCGTCCAGGCGGCGCCATTCTTCCTTTCCCACAGCCCCAACTCGCATGGCGAAGTTCAGGGCCGGGTAGAGGAATGTTTTTATGGCGTCCAGCCTCTGCCAGGGAGCCAGCATTGAGGACAGCAGGCATCTCCCCAGGGCGATCGCGTCGTCCACGCAGGCGGTGTCGGGCAGGACCCTGTAGCCCACGGGGCGGCCCAGGAAAGTGTGCGCCTCGAAGTCGGTCATGTGGGGGATTTCTGCTTCCCCGATGCAGAATGTTGTAGGCCTCGTGCCCACAGGCTGCCGCCCCGTCAGGTGAAGGGTCCGACACTTAGATGGGTTCAGCTGGAGCCCGAGCCCGGAGGACAGCGCGGTGACGACGTTGATCCTTGTTTGCAGCTCGGCAGGGCTGCCTCCCATGGGGGTGAGGTCGTCGGCGTAGGCCAGGATCTTGTGTTGCCGTTGGCCTCCCTGCACCGCCCGGATCACTGGGTCTAGTACGAGGTTGAAAAGGAGCCCGCTGAGTGGGCAGCCCTGCCGGATCCCTGCTTTGATGGCGACCGGCTCTGTTGTGCCTCCCTCGCTGATGATGGCCGTCGTGTTGTCCTCGTACAGGTCCTGGATGATGCTGGCGAAGGCGTCCCCAGTGCCCGCACCTCGAACCGAGTCGACGAGTGCGTTGTGGGCCACTGACCCGAAGGCGTTGGCGTAGTCGAGGAACGCCACGCACAGGTCACCACCACCTGTTCGCGCCGCGTCAAGGCGCTCCTGCAGCACGAAGTTGTGTTCAAACACACCGTCGTGCGGCAGGAACCCCTTTTGGCATTGCGACAGGATCCCGTGATCGCACAACCACCCCTGCAGCCGGGATGCCAGGCATCCAGCATACAGTTTGGCAATCGTGTTACCAAGGGATATGGGGCGCCAGTTTGTGGGGTCCCTCTTCTCGCCTTTCTTGTGGATGAGCACCGTACGGGACGCCTTCCAGCACGCAGGAACTCGCCGGTGTCGTAGGCAACAGTTGAAGACAGCCGCTAGGAAGCTCCCCTCCGGGTCCACGGTCCTCCAGTGGTGGTAGGTGAGCCGGTCGCCACCAGGAGCAGTGTTCTCACACCGCCGCAGCCGTGCCGCCACCTCATCCTCCGTGAATGCCGCCAGGCTCAGCTCACCAGGGGCAGGCATCCGCCGTGTTAGAAGCGTCGTGTCGGCCTGCTTTGGTGCCCAGACGGTGCTGAAATACGCCTCTAGTTCGTCTGGTGGGATGGGGCACAGCGTTGAGGGGCCCTCCGCAATCAGTCGTACCGCACGGCGGCGGTTGCGGCGGTAGAGAGACTGGATTTGCTGGGCGTTCTGCGGGTTGACCTCTCGCCGCGGTCGTCCGTCAGCAGTGGCATCAGGCAATTTCACTGTGGTGGCTATCACGCTGATGGCATCGTCCAGGATGCTCCCGAACTCGGCCCAGTTGTCTGCATTAGGGGCCCTTGTCAGTAGTCGCCGGAGTTTTTTGGTGTGCTCGGCGAGCACCGAGCTGTCATCTTCTAGTTTGGCAGGTGCAGTCTCCACGGCGTCCTCCTGCTGGTCGCTGTTCTGCAGGCTCCCTCCTTGGCTGGGACAGTCCTGGGTGAACAGGCGAGATGGAGTGGCCATCGCGTCCATCGGACTTTCCGCCAGGGTAGAGGGGGTCTCGCCTGTCGCCTGGGTGATGGGGGTGCTCGCGAGGGTGGCTCTGGTGTTGTAGTCCTCGGGGGTGGGGGTGCCGAGTAGGCGACTCTCCTCCGAGCCGTCCCCACGCACTGGACTGGTGCAAGGCAGAGGTTGTTGCTCGAGCGTCTTAGGCTCGCCGCTTGCTGCCGAGCCTAAGACTTTGATCTTAGCCAAAAGGCCGAGAAGCGATAACACCCAATTGTCCTTTAATTTCATGTCTTTCTAGACTTGAACTCCAAGAGCACAGACCCCCATGAGTGATGCACACCAATGAGCATGGCTTCTGCGGCGAAAGAGTCCATACCAGATAGCTGGTCGCGGCTTCTTGGGGCTAAATAACGGTCTCTAATGTGAACTAAACTCGCAACTGCCTAATTAAATCGAAAATAGTAAAATTAAGCCGCAAACTGGGCACTGTGAAGAGGTACTAAAATCCTCGTCACCATCTCTCCTAATGTCAACTTCTACAGTGTACTACAAATCGTAGTAAATGATATGAACTTGAAAGAAAAATAGTCCCACGCTATTTATAAACCTTTGCAAAAATACCACTCACCAAACAATTGATGATACTAAAACCGGATCTCCACTCAAGTCGTTCCGGTGAAGTTTCGTCTGCTTTAATCACACCTAAGGGCGGCTCGCTTGCTGACTGATAGTAACTCAATGTCGGATACCAACAAACAATTGTTATTAAACCGCTTTCGTCTTGCAATGGCGGTGCGAAAGTATGAAAACCACCGCGAGAAAATAAGCAGTTATGTTTCGGGCAAACCCATCCCTCAAACTCGGTCTGCAATGTCTCCCCAAACCAGTTGACAGCAGCGCAACGTTCAACGTTTACGAGACGTTATAAGCAGAAACACAGCAGCCGCCTAACATTTCAGGCGGCTTAGAAACGTCTTTAAAAGATATCACTCGCCAAAGAAAGAACACCGCAAAATCATTGCTGAAGGTTGAAAATGAAATCGAATGAAATCGAGACAAATTAACGTAATCACGATCACCCAAGAAGAATCAAGGAGCAGACATCGCCAAATTGTAGCGCAAATCCAGATTACCTGGATTTGCGCGAGATGGCGACACCGCCGCTAAAGGTCCAGTTTTACTGCGCGTCTACTAGATGTCGCTAGTGCCCCGTTCACAGTGCAGTGTAACTGGTTGAGCTCCTTTTTCACGAGAAACGAATAAAAAAAATCACTCTCTCGGAACGTCTATCTAAACTTCGACAAGTACTTTCGAATGTTAAAAACCTTTAACGAACGAAACGAACTCGCCGGATTGTCAGACAGAAAAGGCGCCAAAGGGGGCTTCAAAATCAAAAGCCAGTCGCTGTCAAAAGAAGCAAACTAATCGCGATATTAGTGGACGCGAGCTCACGCCGAAACGGGCTTGCGCGAGATGGCAACATCGCAACTAAAAGGCAAAAGTTCGCCTCGCGTCCACTAGATGTCGCTAGTGCCCCACTGAACCGCGTCCTCTCATGCACATCGTCCTCTCATGCACAAGCCTGCAACCAAGCCATCCGGTGCAGTGGTATTACGCTCCTGAAAACGGACAGACACCTGGCCAGCCCCTTCCACAAGCCCAATTGCTGGCGGAAGCACTCGGCTTCCAATCACCGGCGACGGGGTCAGCGCTGAACGCGTTTCTAGATAGAGATGCTGCTGCTATCCCTCGAAGTGAGGTTGAAACGCGCGCCGCAGCGTCCACGAAGCCGATTGGACGGAGCTGGAAAGTAATCGGAAGAACGAAAAGCAGACTGGAGGACTGGTGGCGAAGGACAAAATCAAATTGAACGTGAAGAAATGAGTTTTTTTTTCTTGTTTAATATATATATATATATATATATATATATATATATATATATTTCTTTTTTTTGGCTAGGTACGAACGTTGTTCGGAACCGCCCGATACAAAGGGAACAGCTGCAAGATCATCATCATCATCACCGCGGTAACAGACTATTTTTTTTTTGTTTTCTTGGCGTTTAAAGATCCTAAACATGCTTTTTCGCGTAACATAAACACTCTAAGCTACTACCTCAACGTTGCAAGCCTTTCAACGAGCACTTATGAACATTCAAAACCTGTAACGGAAAAAATTTAATCTCCAACCTAACGACCGGCAGAAAAAGGCGCGAAAAAGGGTCGAAAGCTTCGCGCGGTTTTAGTGCTGGTTACGACTGCGCGCTCCCGCTTAAAGATACTGTAATACGCCTCGCAAGTGGGCTCATTTTCGTCTTCTGCGCATGAGAAAGGAGGCGCGAAGGCGGGAGAGGAGGTTGATGACGATTCGGGCTAAGCTCCGCCCTCGCACATGTCGGGGAGGCCGGGGGGTAAACAAACATCGGCGTCGGCCATGGCGGCCGTGCTGTAGCGGCGACCGCGAGTCTTTTGTTTATTGTAGCCCGGTTAAAATTTGCCGAGTCCACAAGATCGAGCAGCTTTGTGCCCCTTACGATTCCTCCGTCGTCTGCTAGAAGCATTTCGAAGATTCCAAGATGAAGACGACGAAGAGCATCAAAAGAAGGCGCTTGCCTAGCCTCGCGATTGAAACGCCGGTTGCGCCGGTCACTACGAGACCGCCGCCCGATTGTACCGGTAAGTTGCCTTTTATCTTGTGCTTCCTTTACGAACACAACAGATTTTGCCTTCTAGCAGGTCTTTAGAAATCTTGTGTGGCGGAGTCGATAGGCGCTATTAATCGAAAAACAGCCGAGAATGTGGTGTTTTCGCGATCCTCCGAAGCCCATTTTCGCAGGTGATATTTAGGAATTTCGACTCGAAACTGCACGGAGGCCGTATAAACTATGTTCCGTTTCATTTTAAATGCGATCGAAGTTAAATCTACATGGGCGAGTCCCGAGCTTTGATCATAGCTGCCATGTGCGATCTTGCAGTGCGTTCTCGCGTTTGTAATTTTCTCTTCGTTCGCACTTATAATTTTTTATAGATGAGACGCAGTATAGTCATACATCGTATTTGGTATAGTAGTTTCAGTCTACGGTTGTAATCATGGCGCTGTAGAAAAGCACAGAGCTCAAAACTTACCACAAAAACGCGATCGTTTTTTTTTTTTTTTTTTTTTCTTTCAGGAATGCAGTTGGAATGGCTGTTACGTGTAATACAGTGAACCAACTCGGACAGTACAAATTTGCCGTTTCACATTACCCAGTATGAGTGAATTGCCAACGAAGTACCGATGCCGCCTTTCTGCAAAATGTGTTGCGCAGTGTATCTTCGAACCACATCGACGCTGTCAGTGTCTGACGTGTTTTTGTGTGTCGCTTGTCTCCTTTTTCGTTCCCATACCAAGATGGAAATTCGGATATCGTGCACTATCCAAGCCTAGCTAATGAGCGCCCCATGGAATTGACACGGGAGTAAACACTGGCTAACATGTACATATTTTTGTTTTGTTCGCTCAGCAGACTGGGGCTGAGTGTGTGACAAACTTTCTAACATCATTTGTCATTTCTAGGTCCCAGATGGGCTGTTGACATCCAGAAACACTCCAACAGATGGTGGTCATACAGCGATTGTGAAGAAAGTCCCATTTGGATCCACATTCCTAGTCCACTCATTGATAATCTTTCCTTGTTGCATCAATGCCCAAGTATGCCAGGCACTGAGTGACTACTCGCATGTGTTAGTGATGGTGGCTTGCGAGGCTTCAGTATCGTCGCTGCTGATAGGGCTCACCCTCACACCAAAGCTGTTGGTGGTGTACCTTTCCATGGAATTGTTTGGTTGATCCCAATTTCCTAGAAACGCCAATATTCAGTTTGGTGTGCCTTGCGGCTGAAGTAAATTCATCAAGGAGGTCTCGTCTCTTTCCTGGGGGTAATACCATGTCAGCTGCTTTGCATGAGCCACTTGGAAACTGTTTGGACTGCTCTAAAGCACTTGTAATTGACCTTACCTGTTGTGTCCATGCTAATGCTGAAATGTAAAGTTCACTGAACCAAGTTTTACTAATGAACCAAAACAATCAGTGGAAAGGATGAATGGCTTTATTTGTTTTCTCGAAGTATACACTGTTTCATACATAATACATGATGCTGGCAACGCTACTTTCATTAGCAGACAACTTAGTCTACACTGTTTCACGATAGCTTGGTGAACTGTGGAGGCCCCTGCGACCCAGTAAGAACGTCAAAGCGAGGCACATGGCAGCATGTCACAGGAGCGCCCGTGTCACCGCGCCAAATGCAAGGACCACCCACCAGAACCGGCTGTCGTATGCTCAGAAACCCAACGAATTCGGATGGACGTCCACTGCAGCAACATTGCCGTCCGCTAGAGTAGCGAGGTCTTCAGTAACACTTTTATGAGGCAACCACATGCTCAATTTGCCCATGAATCTGTGGCGGGTGCTAATGCTAGGGCGATGTTTTGAGCGGAAGTGGTCGATTCACGGCTACGATTGTTTGAACGTCGATCACAAGCCATGTTTTTCTCAAAAGTGTTGATCTATATTAAGTGTCGTTAATAAGTAACATATGTCTTAGTCTTTCTTCAGTGTCGTGTAGTGTTGCGGTCCGAAGAATCCGACAGCAACGCTACTAAAAGAAGAAGAGAAAAAAAAAAAAAAAAAACCTAGAACTATGTTTTGTTGCAAATGGCGCTCTTGGTGTGGCGATAACGAGGACTCGACCGTGGAGTGTTGTCATGTGCCTGGCTCCGATGCTCTTATTGGGTCACAATGTTTGCCAAGTGACCGTGAAACGGAGTATAGTGTCTCACCTGTACCCGCTATAAAACAAATGAGATGCCAGGTGTAGCCACTTTTGCAGCTGTAGCCCTTATATTATTGCTTGCTATGCTGTTTGGAAGAATACATAAAAAAATCAGCTTACAAAGCCAAGTCTAATTTTTTGCACTCTTGCATGTTACGAAAATAAAAGCATCACGCCTGAACACCAACATCTGTCTCTAAATTATTCCTTGCTGAAATGAAAAATAAATATACTGTGAATATGAACCAATACAATCTCAAACAGGTTTAAGAATGGATTCAATAAACAATTACTTCAATCTACAAGCTTGAAATCAAGTATGCGTGTGCAATAAATACCCTGGTCTTTCGACCATCCCCGTTGGCTCTTGTTCTCGAAGGATAGGGACTTCGTCGATTTCACGGCAGTTCAAGCATTGGTCAGGCAACATGCTCGTGTTTATAGTTTCGGCTGTGCTATAGGAATAACAAAGGTG